ACCCTGGGAAACTGCTTTTGATCGTGATAAAGCAAAACGAGAAGGAGTATTGGTTCCCGAAAGGGGCGTAGAAGCAGACTTTGATCAAAGCCAGGACACCGTTGAGGATGCTATTGAGAAGCTTCACGAACATCTGAAGAAGTATCAGAAGGAGTACAAGTACGCGCTCCCGCCTCAATTTTATCTAGAAAGCATACTAATGTTTCCTCTAGATGCAAAGAAATTTGCTTCAGAGACGTAGGGAAAGAGATATATCTGATTGAAGTCCCTACAAAAATAAAGAACATTCCAAAAGACTGGGCACAAATGTCTGGCACCCAGAAAGTTAAACGATACTATCCACCGGAAGTCAAAAAGCTTGTCCGCACCCTTCAGGAGGCTCGAGAGACCCACAGTCAGATTGTGCAAGAGGTCCGAGGTAGATTTTGTGCGCGGTTTGACAAATGCTATGATGTCTGGCTACAGGCTGTCAAAATAGTCGCTCACATTGACTGTTTGATTAGTTTGAGCAAGGCTTCTGTAGCTTTGGGAGAGCCTCGTTGCCGGCCAACATTCGTAGAGGAACAGAACGCAAGGAGTCTCGTCAAGTTCGAGGACTTAAGGCATCCTTGCATGTTGCCCAACATTGGAGATTTTATCCCTAATGATATTCAGCTTGGAGGACAGTCGCCAAAAATAACTTTACTCACTGGAGCTAATGCTGCTGGGAAATCCACAGTTTTACGTATGGTAAGAGCATTATCAATCCTTAATTGTCGATGTTTTTTAACTTTAGCCAGACATGTGTTGCTGCTATTATGGCTCAGATTGGATGTTATGTCCCCGCAGCGTCCGCAATCCTGACCCCAGTCGATCGTATTATGTCTCGTCTCGGCGCAAACGATAATATATTCGCGTCTCAGTCTACCTTCTTTGTTGAGCTTGCTGAAACCAAGAAGATTCTCTCTGAGGCAACGCCACGCTCCTTGGTCATATTAGACGAGCTTGGTCGCGGTACGTCGTCCTATGACGGGGTAGCTGTCGCCCAATCTGTACTGCACCATATTGCTACTCATATCGGCTGTGTTGGGTTCTTTGCAACACATTACCACTCACTAGCAAACGAATTCTCAGGCTATCATCCAGAGATTATATGCAGAAGGATGAAGATTGACGTAGACGACGAGGAAAAGCGTGTCACGTTCTTATATAAATTGGAAGAGGGAGTAGCCGAAGGGAGCTTTGGTATGCACTGTGCAGCCATGTGTGGTATTAAGCGGAGCATTATCGACAGAGCCGAAGAAGCAGCAAGAGAGTTTGAGCATACGAGCCGCCTGAAAGATAGATTGGAGAAGAATAGGGAAGAGGCCTATGTGCCCTTGGGCATCCAGAGTGATGTATCCTGGCTTCTAGGAGGAAAGGGTGCGGTTACTGATGAGGCTTTGGAAGTGCTGTTAAAGTCTATCGAGGCGCTGTAAGGAGGTGTCTGCATGGAGAACCTCACGTGGATCAAGTCAGGCTGGAATGAACAACATCTGCATATTGTTCAGCATATGCTTTCCATTTTCACCTGTTTTTGGTCCTACCTAGTTTTGCTTGTAATATTGCTGGTACGACGTTTTTAGAAGTGGAGGATTACGGTATGAGGATATATCATTTTTGCGAGTTTTAGTTGCTCATATATATATATATTGCAGCTTATATCTTTCCTGTTACTGTCTTATGAAACATCTCTGTTTTCCTAGATTTTGTATGACTTACCAAATAGAGCTGTGGCAAATGATAATGAGTCCTAATGTATCATGCTGTATCCATTGCAACCAAAGAGTGTTTTGTAGCGCACAGAAGTATCTGAACCAACCAAACACAAGAAAAATATTTTCAGTATAGAATACACATTGAGAAACTCCAACCTTAAGATTTACGCCAGCTTTTCGAAAGGCTAAAATAAAAGGGCATATCAAGTAGCAAAATGCGCCACCTAAGAAGCGGTAACCAGAGCTCTCAGTGTCACGATTATATCCCCACCATTGCGCCGCAGTGCATCCGTCGCCTTGGGCTTCGTGAGCTCGAATTGGTCCATCTTATTGGTAATTGCATCAGTATGTGGGCATGGAACAAGGCGGCAGAATTTGTGCTTACCACAAGGGCAACATCTTCCGCTTTGATCTTCACAGCAGAGGTAGCAGGCTTCGGAGGAGCGGCGGCTGCTGCTGCTGCAGTAATGCTTCCGAGAGCAGCGCCTAGTGCCTCCGGGTTGGCGGTTGAGGTGGAGGAAGACGGCGCAGCGGAATCGTCGGCGACAATGGAGGTGGACTCCATTGCTGAAAGCGCCTTCTGACGCTTGAGGTCCTCGGCATTGGTAGGCACGGGGGGTTGAGTGTCGTCGGACATGATTGTTGTTTAGAGATTTGGAAAATTGGTCGGGAGTTGATGAGAATGAAAACTGGAAAGCAACTGATGTGCTTGATTATTTGGTTTTGGTTGAGGTTGGTGATAGTGAGTTCGGGATAGTGGGGGGGCTCGTTTGGCGGGGAAGCTGGGATAGGCCCGACGCCGGACAAGCCACATGGCCCACGCCCCATTCATTGCCAATGCATAGGCTCTGAACCCTTTCTAACAAACTTGGTGTACATGGGCTCTGTATTCAGTTTTAGGAATTGGCTTGGTGATACTGCTTGTCGTTTATACTGACTAGTGCGCACCAATCTATTTGCAACTGAATATCCGCCGATAGCCTATTTACAATAATTCCGCTTCCCGTCCATAAGCGCTGACACTGCCTGGGTATCACACATCTCTGCACCGTTTTGACTTGCGGATCATCTGCATCTTACATGCATGTCGACATCAAAGGAAATAGGATAAGGGAATCTACAGCCCCACTTGATGTCCGCTTGGTCTTACTATTCACTGACTGAAATCTCCGAGTGCTGCTCCACTCAGCAATTGCAGCCTCCTTCGTCACCGTTATAAGAGCAAGGAACGTCGAGGGCAGATAGAGGGCAATAGGAGCGAACTAGACTAATATATATAGAAAGGTGTTTAAGGGAAGAAGATATGACGAGTCCATTAGTTCAACTCCCTCTCAGTGAAGGAGCGAAAAGGGCAGCGGCACTGCGTTCCGGGTTGCAGTGCGCTGGGACAAATATGGAGGAAGTTACAGTGTCAGCACACGACGTAGGGGCACCAGAAGTGGGCGTTGTTGAAAAGTGGTCGCCTTCATGTGAGCTTTGAATTTGACTTGACGTGTCAATTGTGGTGGACAAAGGACTAATCAGGAGACCAAATACAGCATGGCAATCAAAGCCCATGAAGCAGAGCGTCGTCTACGAAGACAAAACCGCAGTGGAGGAGGCTCTCAAGAAGCTGGAATCGCTACCGCCACTAGTTACTCCTCATGAAATTGTCAAATTACGAGCAGAGCTGAAAGAGGTGGCACTCGGAAAGAAATTCCTACTACAAGGCGGTGACTGCGCAGAGCTATTTGACTACTGCTCCCAGGACCCCATTAATGCAAAGATTAAGGTCCTCTTGCAGATGAGTTTGGTGCTTATTTGGGGAGCTAGAATACCGGTGGTGCGAATTGCGAGGATGGCGGGGCAGTTTGCGAAGCCAAGGAGTAGCTTGACAGAGGTTGTAGATGGCAAGGAAATACCAAGCTTCAGAGGCGACAATATCAATGGGTACCTACCACACGAAAGAACGCCACACCCAGCACGGTTAGTGAGGTAAGTTGCGCATCCTGAACATTTTATCTCCGGCTATTGACCATTGCTGCAAGCTCCTACTTCCATTCAGCTGCCACTCTGAATTATCTTCGGGCCCAACTCTCTTCCGGCTTTGCGGATCTTCATTACCCATTTGAATGGACACTTAGTCATGTCCAATCAAAGAATGTTCGCAAGGAATATGAAACCATCGTCAACTCCATTACAGATGCATTGCAGTTCATGCGCACTATTGGAGCCGATAATGCTCCGTCTCTTGGGTCTGTGGACATCTACACCTCCCATGAGGGTCTGCTGTTGGAATACGAGCAGTCTCTTACCAGGCTGCTTAAGGACCCTAGTGATGGAAATAAACCAAAATGGTTCAACACTTCTGCCCATTTCATCTGGATAGGAGATCGCACTCGCCAGCTGGATGGTGCACATGTGGAGTACTTCCGCGGCATACAGAATCCTATCGGTATTAAGATTGGGCCGACAATGAAACAAGACGAGCTCGTACAGCTATTGGATATAGTCAACCCGGATAAGGAAATTGGGAAGGTTACTCTGATAACCAGATATGGAGCTGGAAAGATAAAGGATAAGCTGCCAGGGCATATCCAGGCTGTTCAGAAGTCTGGTCACATTGTGGTCTGGCAGTGCGACCCCATGCATGGGTAATATTATCCTCCCTGTCCAATTCTTGAAGATCAAAGAGAACTCACAATCACCCTCAGAAACACCCGTACCTCCCCGCCCCCGCACTCCCTCAAAACCCGCACCTTCTCCCACATCATCAGCGAACTCTCTTCTTGCCTCTCCATCCATAAAGCCCACAATTCTCGACTAGGTGGCGTCCATCTTGAGCTCACCGGTGACGCTGTTACGGAATGCGTAGGCGGTAGCGAGGGACTGAAAGATGAGGATTTATCAGTGAATTATACGACCTATTGTGACCCGAGGTTGAACCAGAATCAGGCACTGGATGCGGCATTCTTAATTGCAAGCTACTATCGGGATGGGGGAGTTGGTGGGATAGGATTCCAGGGCATCTGAGATGAGTGAGATGATGGGCTAGTATTGGGAAGATATGTAAACTGATAGAGGGAGCTGCGCTAAAAATGGGATCTATTGCAAGCGTAGTTGGCTGTTTATATTTATAGTCGGGTTTCAGAGTGGGGTATTTTGGTTGTAAACCGTGTTTCTCAATTCTAAAACTGTACAGAACTTTTAAGAAAATGAGGTAGAATTAGGGACAGACATGTTTATATATCTCTATCACCAAGCCCAATGCATCTAAAGCAATCCTCCGCACTGGTGTAACGGCTAGCATACCGAGCTTTCATTCTGAGAGCTCCTCGGAGACCGGGGTTCGACTCCCCGGTGCGGAAGTCATTTGAAATTTTTTTATTTCAATTTTCAATTTCCTTTTTATTACTCCCTTTATAATTTCTTTTTTTCTGAGATGTTTTGGTTAACCTAATTGCTGGAACGAGCAGTGATTAGAGACCTTCCGCAACGCCGTCTAGACGGCCGAAAACGCCACTTGACCAGGGTGCGGTCTAGACGGCCCAAAAGACCTTCCGCAAAATTTTAAACTGACGCTAAGAAATTGGCTCGGCAGGGCGGTTTGTGATGCCTCCAGCAATCTCTCATTTGTCAAAGCTTCTTGTGTATTTCTTGAAGAACTCATGGTATCACGGTAAAGTAGAGACTTTCAGCTATCAATAGATATCTTCAACAATAAAATCCGAGTGTTCGTTGAGATGCTATAGTGGTTCAAAGTTCTAGACGTAAAAACGGGGGGTTCCCGTCTACTCTAGACGGGCAGCGCCGTCTAGACGTCGCGCACCGCCACACTTGGCATTGCTGCAGGGGTCCCGCGCCGTCTAGATGGCGTTGCGGAAGGTCTCTAATATATTAGGTTTTATGAAGGATGCACGACAGACACAGTTGATCGTTGCCGGGTATCGTTTGCGCTATCGTAGCTTCAGGTTTCGCAGTCGGCCTGTTCGCCAAGGTGTACTAGTATGGTTGCCCGTTTTGGTAAGCAGGCACCTTATCCACCGGCGCATGCTTGGCATTGCATCATATATGATATGGGGTGTCCAAAATTTTTATTCTTCTCGTCAACATTGTCGACAGCAAACATTGACACACACATACACAGTGTAGGCAAAAGTCTTTGGGACTGTGCAGTATAAGGAAAAGCGTTTTACCAAGCCTTGGAGTCACGAAGCATGCATCCGAGAGGACCCCCCTTGAGAAAACACAACAACTCAACCAAAGTACGCCTTTTCAAATTCTGAGAAAGGATTTAGATTCTCTGATATCATACCCATTCATGCGGTCTGTTTATTTATTTATTTATTTTATTTTATTTTATTTTATTTTATTTTATTTTATTTTTATTTTATTTTTATTTTATTTTTATTTTATTTTTATTTTATTTTATTTTATTACTATTTTATTTTATTTTATTTTTATTTTTATTTTTATTTTTATTTTTATTTTTATTTTTATTTTTATTTTTATTTTTGCAATTTTCTAGCTACTTCATTGTTTTTTTTAGTGAATTTTCCAACAGTACTGAAAAAAGAGGTGCTAAGAGTGTCTGCTTAGAATGCACGTCTCGCTTTCCTTATATTTCATAGTCCCAAAGACTTTTGCCTACGCACCGTAGATTTCAGGGTAGGATATTGTGATTTTTCTATTGTGGATACGAGTTAATCAGTTATTGATCGTCTGCACCATGGCTAACATGAATAAAAGGAAGTCATCATGTCGGCATCTGGTTGGTTTTTCTTACGCAAGAGGTTATTATGAACTATCGAGGGCGTCCTCATGGTGTAGGTATTGCTTGTCATTCTGGACCTATTGCTACCGTGGTTTGTGCCGGTTTCCTCGGCCTTCAGAACTATCTCAACAGAACCGAATCGAAGAAAGATACAAAGGAAACGGAGAGAAATAACGGAAACGGATAGCAACCCACGGACTGAACTTAAGTCGGTACAAGACATCCTCTTGAAGAAAATCGATGACATCGGAGGTAAAAAAAAGATGAATGCACTAGAGGTTGCGAAAGACAGACTCGTAAATTGAGTGGATAAGATGGAGACACAAATAGAGAGGATCAAGCTGCAAACTGAGTAATTAAAGATGCATTCCGGTGTGAAGATGATTTGACTTGCCATATGTGAGGCTCGCATGGTTAAAAGTAATGAAAGGGGGAGGTAAGTCATAGACCCCGAAGTCCAAGTAGCATTTGTCTAACTCTGAAGAAAGATATCATATCGTTAGGCTATGATTATCTCCGGTAATAGAAGAGAAGAGTGATCGGAGGATATGGCGGGGTATGTTCAAAATATTTCAGACTATTTACATGGGTTGTTTATTGACGAATAAATCATATTGTGGATAGTATATGTGGATATTTTTATGGGATCATGGGGGGGGTCAGGGAGACAAAGCCCCCCATGACAGAGTGTGGTAGAAAGTGTGTTCAGTGATGAGTGAGTTGAGAGAGAGGTTTATCTATTTTGTAAGAGTGGTAAGTGAAGGTTGATGGTGCGGTTTAGAAGAGTTGCATTTATGTGGTATAAGTCGTTCCTCGATGGTGAAGGGGAGGCCGGAGGCCTCTATATGATTCCACTTCCCAGCGTAAGAAGCAGCAGCACTGGGATGGTTTTTGCAAGTATTCACATGCAGCACTGTGAAGAAAGAGGGAGCAAGCTCGCTCCGGCCTTTTGTTTAAAAGAGAATTCTACAGTTACACCTTGCTATACCGGACGACCGAGATCCAGCACCTTCTGTCTGGTTTAACCTAGCGTCTGGCATAACAAATTTTGCAGGGGTGCCCGCCAGGGGGGGTACAGAACTTAGTAAGCCAATTGAGAGGTAAAATATGTCTGGAGGCTGGGTTCTAGGGGGCATCCTCTTCTTAATTTCCTCAAATTTTAAACATTGAATTCAAGATATAGAGAACACTTCAAATATAACACATGGAAGGTACAAAAAGCAGTCTCATGATTTTGGCCATTGTCTGGTTGAACTAACTAGTTTATATGTAATTTGAATTCAAAAGTCTACAGTTTTGTTGTCCGGTCCGGTTTAATTAGGTGTCCGGTGTAGCTAATTTTTTTGTATGTGAACTGCAAAAACCGTCAAGGGTCGTCCGGTATAGCAAGGTTTCCGGTTTAACGAGGTCCGGTATAGCTAGGTAAAATTGTATTCAGTCAGCACTCAGAGCATCGTTCCACTCATCGACAACCTAGCAGAGCTTTGGATCGACCGCAGTTATTTTCTGGAAACACGAGGAGGGGATCGTAGGGAAAGCATTGTGCGAGGAAAGAGGTACTTTTATGCAGTAAATGAACAAGCAATCTCCAGTTCTAGAAGAGTTTGGAAGTATCACGAGGCACCGAGGACAACGAGGGTTGGTGATTGCGGAGTGATAGGGTAGAGTAGAAGTTCGGATAGAGTGCTTAGCATGTAGAGCTACTTCTCACAAGGGGTTGTGGAGAGAATTCGGAGAATGGGACAGCGGAATGTGTTTTTACATCCGCTAATTTTATGTCACGATGGAAAATGCTCGAATTGTTTTTCTGAGCATGTACCTTAGATGTCAATTTAGGAAAGAAAAAAAGGCCGAAAATTCATATTCTGCCAACGACCAACAGGGAAATATAAAATAAATTTAAAATAAATTTGAAGAATGCACCAAAATTTAATGGGGAGACGAGTATCCTTGTATGTTTATTGACCGCCGGAATAGCTTCATGTGTTTGGACCAATCGGAGGAAAGATTCGGAGGTTCAGCGCTATTTTGGGGGGGTGGCGTGGTATATTCCGGCAAGGGATCGCCAAACAGCAGGATCAATATACATGACATCCCAGTTTTTATCATCACTGGTCACTGGCATTTGCTTAGGTGGGGTGTCTAGTCTCGTAGCCAGGTCGAGGACCTCAAGGAGCGATAGGATGCCCAGCGGCAGTCGAGCCTCACCAAAGCGTGCTTTCTGCAACCCCCCCCTCCTCTCTCTCCCTCTCTCTCCAGGTCCCCTATATCATTACGTAACACAAATATGGGAATTATATTAAATGAACAATAACAAGCAAGTATCCCTTGGCGTGTTAAACACTGTTCTCGTATGACACCCAAGAAGAGGATGTGCGGTGGTGAGCAAGGGTTGCGCTCAGGAATAGTCTCGGAGAAATAACGTGTGTATGTATGCAAGTGGTGTACGAAAGTATGTTTCTGTTTTATCTAGTTTTATTTATTTTTTATTATTCCAAAAAGTAATAGATATTTGCATGTTCTTTATGTCGGTTGACTTTTTTTTCCCCCTCTCCCTTCCCCTCCTCTACCACTCCCAGCTCTAGCCATCTCCTGGCCCCACGTCCACGTTATAGCATGATCGTGAAGATTCGAATGGAAAGCTGAAGATGATGAGGTAAACATAGGCCCCAGACTCACATTTGTCTATATTTCTGGTATCAGCGTTGGTTGGATGGGATGGATGGGATGGATGGGTGTAAGGTTGAGTAACCATAAAAATAAAGTAACTTGTAGTGATGTGATATTCCATAACGTACTGTTACATAGCAGAACGTGTTGAGAGGAATAAGTATAGGCTCGGCGCCCAATTCATAGATATGGAAGAAGGATACATAGAGGGGCATTCGCGTGGCGACTCCAATATAATATCAAACTGACAAGTAAGGTGGGAGAAGGAAAGGAAAAGGAACAGAGAAAAAAAGTAAGGAATTAGCAAAACAACAAAAGCCTTCATGCTCTTTTAGACGTCAGATTTTGACAACTTCCACTGTGGAAGCAAGAACAAAAAAACTAAAAGTATGAAAAGTCTTGCATTCATTTAGAACCCATATTAAATCTCTCCTCATGAATACAGAATACCAATTTTTGTCAGATAAAAATGTATAACGAGAATAAAGAGGACAATCCAGAAGATTTACAGTTCTACATGCGCAGCCGTCGTTACTGTCTCCGCGACCAGCGTGGTCATGGATGCTGGGGCTTGGGCTTCGCCGAGATTGGCAACTTTTGAGAGTGTGCCTTTCATGTCTTGGAAGGCGAGGTCGAAGCGCGCGCCGGCGAGCCAAGCGAGGAAGATCTGGGAATGACGTTAGTGAAGGGAAAAGGTAGGAAACGTAAAAGAAAGGGGAGTTGCATGGAAAGAGAAGCTGGGTATGTGCGTACCATGAAGGCAGAAATGACACTCAGCGTGCCAATGACGGCAGCAATTAGCATCATCATCTCTTTTTTGGCAAGGGCTGCCTCCTCGGGAGTCTCGCCGGTGGCTTCGAGCTGGCGTTGGCGCGCGATGACAGCGGGATCGGTGGGGGTGGGGAAGATGGATTCAATGAATTG